GGGGGTTTTTGGAGAGCAAAGTAGCGTTTTTTGATAAAATTTACCACAGTTTGGGAAGTTTCTTAGATATGTTTTGGTTTTGGGCGTTGAATTTCAGGTTCAATCAAGGTGTATCCATAAGAATTTCCCCGTTCCTTGCCTTTCGTGTGAAATTTATTTTTTTTTTATGTTGAAATGGTATTTTAGACTTGAAATTCTGCCCTGACCTCTGTCTCCCCTACAAAAGGGGCGCAAAAGGAAATTTAATGTCATCTTGAAGGAGCCTCCCCAAGTCCCCAGATTTGCCCAAAGCCCACCCCAAGCTGCGAGTGAGTGTTTTCTTCTGGGGCTCCACCCTGTATTTCATTATGGTGGTGCCCCTGCATCTTTTTCCTCCACCATTTTTTGTATCCCACACCTGTACCCTTCCGTAAATCTGTTAATTTACTTGTATCTCGTTCATACCTGTGAACGGTAGTCCTTCAGGGGGGGGGGGGAAAAGGTTTGTGCTGAAGGGCTCTTGATCCAGGGAATTGGATCTAACCTTCCTTTCCTTAGATCAGACCTGACTGTCCACTTTCCTCACGCTGTGATACAAAGGGACTTACCTTTCCCAATAATACATATAATAAGAGGGGGAAAAATACAGTAGGTCAAATGATAATGGTCTTCTTGCTTAAAAGGAATATTTTCAATTAATATAATGTTTTACAAATTTATTTTTAATCTTTTTTTTCTTAAATTTTTATTTTTATTTTTCCATCAGCCTGATACACAAGCGGGCAACGTTACGTAGGGAAAGATAAACTTGTTCATGAACCTTGCTGGTGTTAGGAAAACACCAATTTGCCCTTTCTCCCTTTCCTTATTTTTTGGGGAATCGACAAAAAGAAAAATGGTTTTTTATCATCATTTTGATCACAACTCTTGTACGTCTGGAGCTCTTCATCGCCCCAAAAAATTGACGGGTCCGACCGGGGGGCGAGGTAACATGGGGATTTTAAAAAAACGTGGCCCTGCTTACCTGGGTACTAGTCGATTATTATAGGTCGCATTCTCGGGAAGGGGTTAGTATACCTTGATAGATAGGGCTTGGCGCTGAAACGAGCTGAGGTAGGACAACAGCTCGTAATCTGTAAATTCAGTTATGTTAAAATAATACCAGCTTACTTTAACTTTGCTTTTTTTTATCACGGCAATCAGACGATTACCTAAAATTTGGATCGAGCTAGGTCGGAGGCTCTGAACTTACGATGCAGCTGTAAATTTAACTGTGAAAAATCTAAGAGGAAAAGTTCAAAGAATGAATTTCTAGACAAATTAAATCAGTACAAATCAAAGAACGATATCAACTGATCACCAAAACAAACATTTTGAATCTCTGAAATGTCAGATTTCAAACTATCAGAGTTTGCAATAGACATGTAGTTATAGGTAAATTATCCCAGTCTATCAATGATCGCCTCACCTCGCCGTACCTCTCACAAGCCGATCGATTCTCACCCTTCTGTCACTACCATAGCAGCTCCCACAGCATTAATATATGTGGTAGTCAAGTAACTAGTATAAATTCTCAATTGAATTAAGTTTTGCAGAGGAAATTTTAACAGTTATAGTCCCTTCTCGACCATAATTAGTTGTGAGAAACATGATTGCTCAACATTTCATCTCCAAATCGTGTGCTAGTTGAATTTTTTTCCAACCACGGTATTATGACTTATTCTTCCTAATTGATGTAAAGTTAGCTAAGCTACCATATCAGTATGAGCATCGTAAATGTTATACAGAATAAAAGTGACTTATTTCTGTGAACAATGTTATTAAATAAGTAGACTTTTTCCCCTAGCCTACACACCTACCTTCCATGTTTCCTACCCACTTACCCTCATGTTTCCTGCCTATTTTCCTTGTTCCTATCTACCTTCCTTTTTCCTACATACATTTCCTCTTTTATTTATTTCCGTCTCCCCCTGTCCATGGACTAGGAGAGAAGGCAATAAGTAGAACCAGTGTGAGAATGTTTATAGACAACACAAACAATATGATGCAGGATTGAAGAAAAACAACACGGACAGAAATAAGGAAGAATGCTCCGAGGTTCTCTTCAGCTCATATCTGTTGAAGAGGACCATAGTTGGAGTCGAAATATACAGATAACCATGCTTCCTTTTTTCCTTCCCTTGTGGCCAGTGTTAGCTGTAAGATGTTTTGTTTACAGGTGGGTGGTACACATGGAGGGAGCATCCGGTACTCTCTACGAAGGAGAGAAATTTCAAACTGCAGTTCAAATTTTCTCCAAAATATCCCTTTGATTCTCCGGAGGTAAGGTTGTTATCCAAAGAGCATGCTGGAATACTTCAGTCACCCTGCAGAATTGTTTTGAAAACTATAAATTGTATTTTGACCAATGTCATGCAAGTTTTGTTATAATGACTTTAGATTGCATCATCATGATTTTAGAATATATTGTGTATGGGTATAGTGGAATATTTGCTTTTTAAGTTACCTAATTATGAAAGAGAGTTTACAACAAACATTTAACCTTAACTTTGGACTTTTTTTTTTAATCCTCTGAACAGATCTACATTATACAGTACATAAAACTTGGTCTTATGATCTCCAGGTTGCAGGATCGAATCTTGTTCACTTCTTGGTGAATTTTTCAGCAGTCATACACGGAGATGAGGACAGGGACTCTTGAACGTGATTCATGGGTATAGCACACCCAGTGCTATAACACTGATAAAACAACGTCACAGAAGTGCTGGGTGTTAAATCAGTGTTATAGCAGCATTGGGGCTACTTCAAGCATGGATCAGGGTTCGAGGCCCTAATTCATTCCTCTGTTCACTGGCTGCTAATCATTCATTACAATTTACCTTGGATATACAGTGTACCAACTTAATCACAATTTTTCAGGTGATTTTTGTAGGAGACAACATCCCCATCCATCCTCATATATATTCAAATGGACACATTTGCCTGAGCATTCTAACAGAAGACTGGTCACCTGCCCTTTCAGTACAGGCCATTTGTTTTGCAATCATCTCCATGCTATCTTCATGTAAAGAAAAGGTATCATTTAAGTTATGTATATTGAGTATAACAGAAGTTGTGTTTAACTGATTTTTAAATTCATGTCAGAAAAACAAGAATAGCATATATATATCAAGATTTCGTTCTTGAAAACATGTTACAAATATTTTTTATCCTTTGCAGAAACGACCACCTGACAATAGCTATTATGTCAAAACTTGCAGTGCCAACCCCAAAAAGACAAAATGGTGGTATCACGGTAAGACGGCAGTGGTATATGACATATAGTATACTCAAGTATAACTCAGTGTCGTGTATGGGTCAAGCCCTTAACTTTGCATATATCTCTTTTATAAACTTACCCTAATTTTTGAGAAACTTTTAAATGGGGTCAGATAGTTCTCATGTGGAAAATATTCCATAACTTGAAGATAGTTCTGAAAACATAAAACACACATCAAAAGTTTAAAAAGTATTTGTGACGATAACAGAAAATATTTAGCCCAAAGCACCTGGTAAACATAATGAAGAACACTGCAATAGGCCTACCTGCTTGTGCTAGACAAGTACTGCTCACACCCAGCTATTACATAAGAACATACAATAAGGATAGAGAACTGCAGGAGGCGGCTTAAGTCATTAATAATCATCTCCGTCATCTGATGTGATCATTAACTTTTTATGGGGTCGACTGGTAAGCCAGGGTAAGGCTTCAAACTTTTTATGGGGTGGACTGGTAAGCCAGTGTAAGGCTTCAATCATGTGACCTAAAGCTGCGGTTAGCAGGTCATCACATGACCAAAACTGGTATTGGGAAATGCTTGTCTTTGACAAATATAATACCACTACCACCACCTTCAGTTTGTTGATTTTCTATTGTTGCAGCAAACCTCTGTTTTCTGCCAATATAATTTGAAATGGGTCATATACATAGCATAGTTCAAGCTTCAGGCAACCAAACTTGCAGAGACGACCAACAGTTGTGCATTTAAGATAGAAAAATTTAAAGAGATTGGATGAAGCTTACTAAACTTGTGCACAGTTAAAAAAGTGTTCAAACACTTGAAAGCCTGGCATGTGGCCACAGCTAGAAAATGTTGAATGTGTTAATGAAAATCACCAGAATGGAATTACAGTGCCCTGTGTATTTATTAAAATCTAAGCTCCAAATTAAGCAAATGCATGAGTGTACTGGGTTCATGAAAATGCACAGTTTTGTACTATAACAAAAGACCAGGATATCACAGTCTCCCAGCAGAACTCAATGACACGATAACATTTCATTGACATGGAGATGGTTGAGACCTCAATGATGGTTTGAACCTCAATGATGTATTAAAACATTGAAAGAGGAATGAATAAAGACTGGCCTGTATTGAGAACATGGATGAGACTCCAATGAATTTTGATTTTCCAGCCAATAAACAGAAAACTGTTTGTCAAGATGACAAGGTGTGAAAAAAATCATCCTTGTGTTGTTGTGTATGGCTGATGGTATTAAATTTAAGCAAATAGTAATTTTCAAGAAAAATTATACCAAAGGACTTTGTCAGTTGCTTCCAAATATAATGACTCGGCAGATTTTGTTCTGTATTTCCAAAGTCTGTGTTTACTGTACTGGATGTCTAATTTATTTGTACTTTATACCAAAGGTGGAATATGTTTTGCCCTTGATGCACCAAAGATGTAGGAACCTAATGTGTGATAGGCTTACAACCTATAACATTGGGCATGTTTCTTTACACTGGTTGTCTATGTTCACCCATAAGTCAGGTGGGTACCTGGGAGTTAGTCGACTGGTGTGGGTCACATCTTGGGACAAAACTGACCTAATTTGCCTGAAACGCTATGCATAACAAGCGGCTTTATAGTAGTATGTCAGCTAGGCCTGTATACCATGTACATGTACTTGTAGCAATAAAGATATTATTATATTACAAGGATTTGACCCCCTACTTTTTGTCTTAAAAATTTGGTCTAAAACCTCGACCTATACTGAGTATATATGGTTAGTACTGTAAATAAGAATATGCCATATAATGATAGTTTAACATTATTAGTTTTAAAGACGACATAGTAAGGAATAAACATACGGTTATGCCCCCTCTTACTATAATGACAAATGTACAGTGGACCCCGCATAACGATTTACCTCCGAATGTGCCAATTACGTAAGTGTATTTATGTAAGTGCATTTGTACGTGTATGTTTGGGGGTCTGAAATGGACTAATCTACTTCACAATATTTCTATGGGAACAAATTCGGTCAGTACTGGCACCTGAACATACTTCTGGAGTGAAAAAATATCGTTAACCGGGGGTCCACGTATGCCAAATTTGTTCATGTTCTCTCATTTCGGATTTGGTGCACAATTATAATAATGGTGGTGGGAAGTTCACTGCCTGCACAGTATCCTGAAGGGTGGGTGGGGAGGTTGTAGTTAGAAGGGTTATTAGAAATGTGACATCAAGGTCTTCTGGCAAGATAGCTAATGAATGAATAGTGATGAATATGTTTCCTTGGGCTTACCCAAATTTGGTGAAAAAGGTTGCGGTAAAAAAATATTTATTATTAGAAACAATATGTTGGTAGATAGCAACCATCCATTAATGTGAATGAAACAAGAGACCTATTCAGTGCTTCTCTAGCAGAAGTGGATTTTTTGTCTTATGAACATGTAAGATTACAGATAAATCTTACAAACTTCTAATTGCACTTAATATAGTAACTTATCTTTACGTTACCTCTGGTTTTAATTTTTTGTTTATGTAAATTTCCCTTTCAAATTTATGAGGCCGATTGAGACTGGGCTGTATAGGGCAAATGATTAATCATGTAAACCCCTTTTTTGAAATTGGGGAAAAAAAAATTTGGGCCA